TCCAAACTCCTGTGAGTTCAGGTCTCCGACTTTAAACACCCTTTTTTGCACCTTAACGCTTTCTGTTGCACTGGGCAGAAGATGGTTGAATTTTCCCTGGTTTTTTTTCTCTCTTCCACGTGAAGTTTTTGCCAAGCAGCTGGATGGACACCCACCCCAACAGCAGCACAGACACTGGGCCCCGATCTGCAGTGGGAATCCCACCAACCAAATCCGGGGCTGCGACAGATACGGCTGCGGGAATTTCGGCGCTGACAGGTAACACCGTGGACACTGGGACTCTGGGACTCTGGGGTTCACTGGTGCTTTCCTAAAGGAAATTTTCAGGCAGGAGAGAGTACAGTTAAATAGAGCTGACACTCAGAATGAGAGAAGACTGTTGTTGGCAGGACCTCTTACCCGTTTTTGGGATATTCCTCGGCAATCTCCCAGAAGTGCAGTGATGCCACTGCTGGCAGCCAATGTAGGGGTGAAGCAGGGAGACCATTACATGACACACAGCCAAAGGAAATGAAAGTATTTAAAGGATTTGTGTCATTCTTGTTATTTAACAAGGTATTCAACTAACATTCAGCAGCAGCCCAGTAGTTTCATTCACACAAACTAAAAGTCTGTCAGCAAAGAGAGACCTGACAACATAGCAAGTTATATGTCCCTGAAAAATGCTTTTATAAGTATAAGTCTCCTGCCTTCCCTGCATTTTCCTGCTGTCTCCTCTCCCCAGGCTCTGTAAGAAGTTTCCATCCTCATCATGTCACTTCCAAACTTCTAAATGAGAAAATGCCAAACATAAGATTCCATTTCACATGGGCACAGATGTATTTTGGGGTAGAATAAGGCTACTTCACTGTAACACCTTGAAATACCCCATGAACTTGGGAAAACTAAAAATAAGCTTAAATTTGATATTTAAAGAAGGCCAGAGTAATGTGAACATTTTGCAATTTTTAAAAAAAAAAAAAAAAATGGACCAAAGCTGCTGTTTTCTAATTTGATTGCAGGTACAAAAATTTTGTTAGACAAGCTTCAGTTATCTGATAAGGATACATAAGGTTAACCCTGACAGATGTGTATCTGATAAGGATACATAACATTAACCCTGACAGATGTGTATCTGATATTGATACATAACATTAACCCTGATAGATGTGTATCTGATATTGATACATAACATTAACGCTGACAGATGACTCTAAGGATGGATTTATGCTTCCAGGGACAGTGGCAAAGGAAAGCACGGGGGGGTGGATGTCATCTGCCGGGATGGAGCCACCGTGTACGCTCCGTTCAGCGGGCAGCTCTCCGGACCCATCCGGTTCTTCCATAATGGGAATGCCATCGATGATGGAGTCCAAATCAGCGGATCAGGCAAGTAATGAATACCGGGTAATGCTGTGAGGTGTGCACACAAGTAATCACTCCATTTCCTTGAGTAGGGTTTCTTCAGTTGAAGCACAGTGCTGATTAGTGTCACACCCTCTCTAGCACGCTGAAATTTTGGAAGGCAGCACCAGCAGGATGCAGTCCTTTCCTAAGCTTTTCCGGGATAGGAGGGAAGAAAGGAGTTGGAAAACATGTAGCAGGAAAACGACAACCCCAAATAATAATAACAAAAAGGAAACAGTAAAAATAAAGCATCGCAAGTACACCCTCAGCTTTGCTGAGAGGATGTTTTCCTGTCCCTGTTTTCCAGCTCCCTTTTTTCCTCTTTTCCACAGCAAATCCAGTAATTTTGATTTCACGATTGCTGGTACCTTGACGACATTTCTGCTTCATCCTTACAGTCTCCAGTAAGAGGCTGGCAGGGAATGCTTCTGGCCTTCCCAAGGAGCAGAGGCAGCTGATGTTTCCTGACCTCGCTTCCTCTCCCGTCTCCTCCAGGTTACTGCGTGAAGCTCGTCTGCATTCACCCCATCCGGTACCACGGCCAGATCCGCAGGGGGCAACAGCTTGGGAGAATGCTGCCCATGCAGAAAGTATTTCCTGGCATTATTTCTCATATCCACGTCGAGAACTGCGACCACTCCGATCCTACCCACCTGCTTACGCCCGGTAAAAACACCCCAAACAACAAAAAAAGCAGCCCAGAATAGGAGTAGAGTTGCACTCAAGGACCTGTGATTCTCTCTTTGAATTTTTGTCTCTAAGGCATGTTTCTTGTCTGAGATATTACTATCCACCTTAGTTGTACATTCTATTTACATTTCCTGTAAAGATGACAAATCCTGTGGAGGGAAATCCGACCGCACGCGTGGGATGTAATTCCAACATGTTCTCACCCAACTGTATTAAAACACAGCAGTCACAAACATGCCAGGCTTAAAACAATCAGAAAGCTAACTTTGATGGGCTGTGTTTCTGTGTTTCAAAGATGTCCCACCACTGCCACAACAAGACAGCCGCTGGGCCACGGTGTGTGCTGGGAATCCCACCAACGAGATAAGGGGCTGTGATAAGTACGGCTGCGGATACTACGGAGCTCCGAGGTACCGTGCCATGGGAACACGTGGGGTTTTGTCGTTCCTCCACTGAAATAAGAGTTGAGCGCTGTTTAAGTCACTTAAGAATCACAGCTTTGAAGGTTTGGGTTGGACATGAGCAAACTTCTAGGCCACACACATTGTTGAGGACACTTCTCTGCTTGGAGGGTTTTATCACTCCGACTAAGCTGTGCCTGACCTGGTGTTGGGAACAGTCCTGACTCGAGGGGAAAGCTGGACTTGATGTCCTTCACACAACCAAACTTTCTGTGACTCTACAGCCCTATTTAAGACTTGGAAGAAAGGCTTTTTCTCCAGCCCTAACAGGTTGCCCACCCTATTAAACCACCCACATCAAAAAATCCTTTACAGACCCTTCAGCCAGTCTGACACTATTTCCCTCCTAACAACCCATTTCCAGGCTTCACCCCATGCTGCCTGATCTCCCTCTATAACAAGAGATGTCTCTCATTCCGTCCTTGTTTCCAGGCGCAATGGCAAAGGGAAGCACAGGGCAGTGGATGTGATCTGTGCTGATGGAGCCACGGTGTACGCTCCCTTCTCCGGGCAGCTCTCCGGGCCTGTCAAATTCTTCCACAACGGAAATGCCATCGATGATGGAGTCCAAATCCGAGGCTCAGGTAAATGGCTGCTCTTCATTTAATGTCTTTGAGGTCACACAGGATGCGTGACCTTGCAGCTACCAAGCACTTCAGCAAGGTAAATGTTTTCTTCTATCCACCTACTTGCAGAACTTTTTGCTCCTGCTACAACGCCAGAGTGTCTTTGAGCTCTTCCCTTTACTAAAGAAGGAATTCCCACCTTTTCCCTGCCTTCCATCTTCCCTCTTCCACCAAGTCAATGACTGCAACCATTTTTTATGACCGTAATGCCTCTGCTATTTTGGTATTTTCACTATTGCTATCTCAGTGGAAAGGATAAGACAGAAATTGTTAATATTTCTGAAACAGAGTTAGTAGAGAAAAACAAACGCTTCATCAGTCATCTGATGTTTTCCCTCCTTGCTTTCACCAGGGTTCTGTGTAAAACTACTCTGTATCCATCCCATAAGATACAACGGGGCAATTTCCAAGGGACAAGTCCTTGGGAAAATGTTGCCAATGCAAAGAGTATTTCCTGGCATCACATCTCACATCCACATTGAGAACTGCGATCACTCGGATCCTACAAGCAATCTCGAAAGGGGGAAAGGGCAAAGAGAGTGAAATGGAAATGCAGCAAATTCTAAATAAATTCATCTCAGCATCCAACAGTTGTTTTTGATTCTCATGAAAAACTCTATGCTATTACTGATTCACTACTTTGAGTGTTACACAAGCAGTGTCTCTAGTGGAGGCTCACACAAGGGAAAAAGATTTGTTTTTGTTGGAGGGAATTGGGGAATTAGCAATGATTAGTTATAAGCTTTCTCAAAGAGTCTGAAAAATCAGCTAAAATGCCAACTAGCTACCCCCTCATGTGGCAGAGAAGGTGCATGACCGCCAGCTTCCCCCTCAAGTACCAGCCAGCCTCACTTGTTAAGATCAGCCAGCAGAGCAAATGCTCCAAAAAAATCAGTGCGTCAAAAATCACAGTATTGATAAATGCAGACCTGCTTCTCTGGAAGCTTGGAGCTGGAGCAAGCCAATGTTCCACGGTTGGACCTGGTGAGCTTAAAGGCCTTTTCCAGCCTTAGCAGTTCTATGTTTCATGGCTTCACAGAAAAGCTGCTTCAGTGAGAGGGATTGAAAAGGGACAATATTCAAAGCAGCATTTTAGCAACTTCCCCCTGAACTCTCTATTTACAGTCACTAGTGTTTGGTTATTCACTAACACTGTTCTGATGGCTGGAGAGACAAAAAGGACTCCACGACTCCCCAACCACACACACAATTTGTCCACATTCCATTTTACAGTTTCCATGTCAGAAACCCTCAGGTTTCAGGCATGAACGTGACAATGACTCATTTGCCATAATCTAAGAGTTAAACATTCCTTTGGCCTCTCCCAAGGTTTGTCACATTTATGGTTTCTTCCAGGACAGAATCCTAACAGGACACAGGGCATCAGATGGATAAGAGTCTAATTAATCAGTGCATGGATTAAATCACTTTGTTACATTTCCATTTAAAGCAAATCAATATATCTTAAACCAAATACTGTTTGGAAATATTTCAGTCTCTTAAAAGAAAATAACTGATTCAGGTATTGTGTGTTACCTTCAATCCTTTGGCTTCCAACTGGGAGCTGGAGATGGCTGAGCACCTGCCTGCCCATGGGATGTGGTTAATTAATTCCCTTTTTTGGGGTTGTTTGCATGTGTGGCTCTTGCATTACCTATTAAACTGTCTTCATATCCACCCACGAGTTCTCACTTTTACCCCTTCCAGTCTCTCCCCCACCCCACTGGGTGTGTGGGGCTGAACTGCCAGCCAGGGTTAAACCACGACAGTGACAAACACCACCAGCTAATTAATGTAGAATTCCCACTATCAACAGGAAGACAAACCAAGTACAGCGTGAAAGTGATTACAGCAAAATTTATATACAATGAGTTTTAGTTTACAGTGAGCAAAATGTCAACACAAAAATACAGACTCTAATTTACATCAACTCACCGTGCCTCTCCCCTTTTAAGAAAATAAATATATTAAAATCTTCTTTCTTAAAAAACAATTAGTAGCAAGAAGTATTAAACAGTCCTGAATTAAATATTTCAGGATCACTTCCAGCAATCCTTTCTCTAGAAATCAGGGCTTACAGCACAGCCAAGATCACTACAGGCCATCCTGGTCTGTCAGTGACAAGTAATTTAAGTGCTCTAAATCCTGGCTTCCACACAGAGAGGGATCAAAGACAACTGTATTCCATTTGTTCCTTCCTTCTCACCAGCCACATTCATGAAATCCTTCTTACGTCTCAATTATGAAAGCATGGAACAGCATTTCAGACAGTCTGAAAGACCAAATCCAAATCCAAAGCTATTCCTTATATCCCAACAGTTTCCAAAGTGCCTTATTACTCACTCAAGCAGTCAATCCAGCTACAAACTTCTACATTCATTAATTTTAACAAAGTCTCTTTCCTACCCTTTTAATGCATAGGACAAAACCAACATACTGTACAATGCAGTCTCAACAGCTTCACTACTGTGACAGAATTATTTAAAGTGCAATTTAATGCTTACAAAAAAACTTTACAGTTTCAGCTTATTAAAATTTTAATATAATACCGTGAGTTTAAACTAGATTACATCTGATTAACCTGGGCTAGTGTATTTTAATGTACAAGCTTTTACAATTAAAACAAGGATATTTATAAAAAAAAGCTATATAAAACATCATGACAAATAATACTGTACTCCAAGTTGTATACAGCTTTCCATAAAGATTGATTTCCTAAAGGAAAAAGTTACCCTATTCCTCTTCTGACTACATCAGAAAGATTAAACAAAGACATGAGAAAAAACCCCAAACCACTTTAAAGTGAACAGAACATTTAAACTGAAGTTCAGAGAAGCCCAAGTTCACTGAAGTTTGAAGCACCTGTAAACCACAGAACTGTTAAGTACACTTTAATCTATCTTCTATTTCAGTATACAATTTATATTCTAGAGTGTTTTGCTGTTAGTCTACCAGAGGTTCTCAAGGTAGAAAAACTCAAATCTGGAAGTAAGTTTTCACATTTCCTTTTGAAATTCCTTATTTGCATAGAAAGCAACACCCTGATTTCACCCCTTTATCCACAAACGGAGAGAGAATTTACCACGTTGGCATCATATCAGGAAACCACATTCTGCCGAGGTGCTTGGAGACCTCCAAATGCAGCCGATCCAAGCTGTAATCGCTGTCTGGGATCAGCACCTCCTCCATGATGGACAGCTGGGTCAGCCTGCCCCCACACATCTTCACAAACTCCACGAAGCCCCTGCAGGTCACCTCGCACTCCCCCAGGCCCATGGCCGTGAGGTTCTTGCAGCGCTGGGCGATCTGGATGAGCTCAGCATCCAGGGGCTGCAGCCCGTTGGCGCACACGACCAGCTCGATGAGCCGCGGGCAGTTGATGCCGATGCGGCCCAGCAGCGCTTTGCTGACGGCGCGCCCGAAGTACAGGTGTGTGACCGGCGTCTCCTCCCGGAAGAACACATCGAACTCGTCCTCATACAGGAAGAAGTACATCACGATGTTGACTTTGGGGGAGTGCTTGACCAGAGCGTCCCAGCTTTGCTTTTTGATGGTGTGGAATTCCGCCTGCCCGGGGTTCTCGCTCACGACGTCGATGCGAAGGTGCTCGAGGTCGACGTGCTTCTCGCTCGACAGAGCCAGTAGAAGCTCATCGCTTAAGATGTAGTAGTTCAAAGCCAGCTCCTTAAGTCCGTGGCACTGATCAGCGACACAAAGAATGCCTGAGGAACAAGAAAAATTAGTCTGTAAAATGAAAAGCAAATATAACCACAATTGTTCGCTGTAAAGCTCAAGCAAGTACTATTGGTTTGAGTTTTCATGCTTATATCCAAAACCCCTGAAATACTGAAGTTCTAGATATCCACAGCATTTTACAGGGTTTTGGCCATCAACACTTATTAGTAAAAGACCCAAGTCTAACTAGTCACACTCATATTGGATCTGCTTATCTTCCTCTTTGCCCTTCCCTATGACACATCTAGTCAGCTTTGAAGCAGCAACTGAAACGAGCTCAGATGCAGCTGAAGTTGACACTATTCCCTTCTTCCTTCAACTTACATCTACACTGTTTAAATCACCACCAACAACCTTGTTTAACAGTTAAAGTAGAGCCTTTCAAGAATTAAGACATAAACAACATAACTACTCTTTATCTGCTGGAATACAAAGTACACAGATTAAATCACCTTTTGTGGACTCCAGAAAAGAACACAGGAGATAGACCAGTCCCAGATTCCCTTTTCCTAGCATTAGGGTTTCAGGAGAAAGGAAAGTGGGATGCAAAAGCCCTCTGAACTTTCTAGCAAGGGAGTATTCCAAAGGCAGTGAGCCCTTCACCAACCAGTGAGTTCAGATCCAGATCCGGACACACGAGGGCCCTACAGAAACTGAAAACACTCCCAGTCTTAACCACTAGTTTGTGCAATTTGTACACACTCAGCACCTTGCAAAGCCATTACTGACACTGCTTTAATCTCCTTTATCCCACCAAGCAGTAGCTGATTCATGGATCAGGGATTTTGTGTGTGTGTTCCCATTATTGTTTTGATACTTTATGACTCCGTTTTTCACATATATTCACTACTCACCAGCAGGTGAAACGTGAGGACAGCTGCTCATTTTTAGGAGTTTCAGAGTGTCACTGTTGTTAGCAACAAGAACCTTCAGGGAAGGATCATCAACTGGTGTGTCATCTATCTTGATTGATGATAATGACTTGGAGTTTACAAAAACTACTGTCAGTGCTGAAGCAAAATGAGCCTGTTTGGAGAAATGGAAGGAAGGAAAAAAAATCTTATGAAAAGATGGGCAGAACTTCAGTTTCCCAACCTCACATTCTGCACACACAGAAAGTAGAAAAATAATCACTTCTCAGTCACTCCCTTTTCTTGTGCAACAAAGAAAGGCTTATTTGAACATGAACATGGGGGATCTTTGTTTAAAAACATGCTGCTGCACATGACAGAAGTCAACTTTACACTCAGTAATTAACTCATCCACTCTGATTTATTGTTTCCCTGTAATAAAACAGGGATAAGTGGACACAGTGATGAGCCCAAAGTACTTAGTTACAGTTTGTAGAACATTACCTTAGAGACATTCATGAAGCTTGGCTTTGCTGTAGAGATTAAACCCAGTGTCTTGATTGAACAATTCACCAGCTGAGAAAGGATGTCACAAGCTGCTTCTGCTGACTCAGTACTACTATCAACCTGTAAAAGCAATTTTAAAATAATGAAGTCATTCTTCAGTATTATTGAAAAAACAGCACCATGGATACCCAAGACTGCAAGTTCCACACCTGGTCAGCTGTGCTGCTCCAGCCTGCAATTACCACAGGGACAAAGTGCAGCGTTAATCAGAAATTTCAAGATAAGAACAAGTTCAGGGAAAGTTCAGGAAAATTTTCCTGAGTATGACTGCTGGGCATTTCTAGTATGAACAGAGACCTCAAATCTGAGTCTTCTCTTCAAATAACCTCATGTTATTACAGTACTGTAACAGTAGTGGTGCTACAACAGGCAGTGATACATATTTTTTTTAAAATGCCAAACTCTTGGAGCCCAAAAAAGACTCGACAAAGTCTAGATTTAATCCATTTTATCTGCATGGACAACACCTTTGCATCTTAAATAATGAACTGGTTCTCAATTCCTTAGCCTGAAGAGTGACTTTGGACAAGTCTCTGTTTCATCTCACCTTCCCTCCTCTGCCTTGCACGACAACAGCTCTTTCTTTACTTTGTAGAGATTAGAGTGTGGAAAACTGAAGGAAGCTGCCTGCACATGTGGAAATAAATTGCTGCAAGAACAAGACTTCCCAGGTCCAACCCTTAATGCAGCTGGCACAGAGCCCTGCACACAGCAAGGTGACACAGCAGATCCAGCTCCAGGCTTACCTTGAAGCTGACGTACTGCAGGTGATCAGCGTGCCTCTTGATAATCTGCTGAATGAGGTCTGGGTGGGTAGACTTTAAGTAAGAAGTGGCTGGCTGGCTGAGTTCAAATTCAAATCTCCTCCAGAGATCTGGGATGTGAAAAACCTCATTCCACCTTCGGCAAACAGAAGACGCCCTGGCTCGATCCACCAGAGTGAGGAACTGGAAAACACGCAGGATCACGTGGTGGGGGAGGCTGCTCCAGTCCATCGAGTTGCACAGGGCAGAGTCACCAAACACTGAGCCATATGAACTAGTTTTCTGTTTTTTGCTTGTCTGTGATGTGTGAGGAGCTTCAGTTCCAACCCCAACTCTCTGCCCAGCTCTCTTCATCGTGGAAGTTTCAGGGGCTGTAACGATCCGATGTGTTCAAACCGCAGTTTCCTGGAAGGGCTCACGCACAGCACAGGGCTCTAGAAAAATACAGGATATTAGGGGAGGAAGGCAGACAGGGCAGTGGAAACACAGGAAGAGATAACAAGGTAATAAAGTTTAAATACAGCATGTTACTCTGAAAAGAAGCATGGCCATATGTCCATATCCAGTGCACAGATGTTGGCAAGGACCTTCTCTCTCAGTACCTTTTATTTTGTACAACCTGATTTGAATCTGGAGAACTTGGGTTTGTTAATTTACCAGGTGTAGTTTCATGTGTTAGTACTTCACAGTACATAAAGCACTTTGTAGGGAAAAAGAAGTATAACAGCAATTTAATTTAGCAGTAAAAAACTGTTTCAGTTTAAATTTAAACTCAGTAGACAAACTACGGAATCTACTAATGATTTCTAAAAAGTTTATCAACTACAGAACCTAATTCATAAACTCTATTTAAACAAATAAACCTGGGACAGGTATGTCAGAGTCAGACTGAAAAGTTTTGCCCACTTTCCCTTTGCTTTTTTTTTTTTTTCTTTTAAATCATGTCAGGCAGGGGAAAAATGTTTGTACAACTAACAACAAAAAACTTCAGAGGCCACTTATCAGAGCAGGGCAAAGTAAGTGAGGTTCACATGCTGGTTTTCAGCAAGAGAAAGGACAGTGACCTTGGAATTCAGCAAACTGCATGGATCTGCTTCACTGAGGGCCAACTGCCACATGAGTCAGAGCTCAGGAAAGAGCAGCCTAAGGAAAAGCTCCACTTTGCCAGGCTGAAGCAGTGCAACCTACCCAAGACATTCTGGACTGAATTCTGTGATTCACTCAATTCTCAGTAACAATCTTTGTTTCAAGTGCCACTTCATTTCACAGCAGGCTGAGGCCCTTTCTCAACTGTCCCACTAATCAGATGTTCAGCCAGACCTTCTCTCTTCCCAACCAGTCTGAAGGATTTTCCAATGCGTGTTTCAAGAACAAACAGAGCACATTATCTAGTTTTTTACTGAACAAACTTCCATGGCAACTCTCACAGAATGCTTTTTCTGATCTGAAAATTTTCCAAAGTATCCTCATTATGGGGAAAAAAAAAATCCACCCCTCCCAATCCCCAATACTGCAGAAACAGCTGCCAAAATACACAGTATCCTATCAAAAACTTCCCTGGCCTTTTTCCCAACTTATAAAACCTGACCTGTCTGGCTGAGGAGGTGTCTGACACCAAAGCCACACCTGCATGAAAAGAAAGCATGTGCATTCTTTGAGAAGTGGGAAAGAACAACCTACCCAATTAATTAAGAGCTGTTCACATGACCAGCTTCACCACTGTTTAACCTCCTGACAAATTATCTCAACCACCAAGAAATTTATTTCAGCAGTTGTTACAAATCTTCACTCAGTCTACTCAGAGTTCCATCAGTGACTGGAATCAGCAATATATGAAGCTAAGCTACCAACACTCTTTAAATGATATTAAATAACAGGTTTTCTTCCCTGAATAGACACGTGGCTTGTTACTAATGGAATGAAGATGCAATCTCAGCATGAATAAACATTTTGCTACTAGACCATCAAATTATCACCCACACAACCATGTTTTATGACTTTTGAGTGCTTTAAGTCACACAGTGAATGGGCATTCCAAAGCATTAAGTGTGGATGTAGTAATTAACCATTGCACAACTCTTAGAGTTGCTCATAGCCTTGCTAAATTTAGCAAAGGTTAAACACCTTTTGAGTCAAATACCTGTTGTTTGTTTTTCCTCCTCCCTCCTCCAGAGGAACTACAAATTTAGCTGTTCGCTAAATCTGAAGTCCAGATTAAAAAATGAAATTTAACAAATTCTGTTGGCTGAGAAGCTTCTCTTTGCTACTGCTGTTCTCGTGCAGATCTGCAACATCTTGGTTAAAGATAAGTTTCTGATAAAAATGGAAATTTTTGCTACCTTATTCAAAACTTACTTGGGTGCTGATTTGGCTCCCACAAAGAAGTTCTGGCATCTGAGAACAACCAGAAAGGGAATTCCCCTAAACCACAGGTCAGGCTACAGCCCACAAGCAGCACATCCCCTCCAGATGGATGAAGACCTGAAGGAACATGGCCAGAACTTGTTCTTGTTGCTACATCCTTTAGCAACTGGTTATGTCCAAAATTTTTATGTTTAATATCTTATACTGCAGTCCTTTAAATCTACCAAAATGAGTTCATTTTACTTGCTGTGGGATGCAAAGCCAGAAAAAGGTTCCCTTGGTTATGCATCAAAGTTTTGTACCAAACATGAAGCCCCAGTATTTACTGTGAAATATGAATGCTTATTTCCTTCTGAATACTGAAACTATAAGCAGTATATATTTGAAAACACGACTGAAGTTCACTGAATTATAGTTCCACGTGATACAATCCAGGCACTATTCACTGAGAGGTTTACAGGCACACATACCCCAAAGAATGTGGAGGTTCCTGTCAAGTTACCAGCACCTTTCTGGTATCTGAACATCCATCCCACTGTTGAGTCATCCTGTGTGTGTGCATGGAGTCCTTAACCAGAAGGCAGGGACGGGTTCCAGAAGATGAACCAACCTGTGAAGCCATCAACCAAATTAAAACTGTTCTGCAGTGTCTGGGAAACCCCCAGGAAGGATTAAAATCAATTCTGGAACAGAGATGAGTAGGATACACTGCTCTGCAGGGCAGATGTGGAAGCAGAACAACAGTATGTGCCAAGCAGATTAGTTTTACCAAACACTGTCTGAAAAATATCATTTAACTAATGGGAAGGTGTCATTGTTGGCAAAAATCTAGTTTTGAACCACAATTTTAGTCACATGAGCACTCTTATGCAACACAGATACACCTCTGGATTCTTGAATATTACCTAAAGAAATTACAAACCTGGGTAAGAAGTGTTTATTTTTTCAGCTTGCTCTATACCAAAACCACATGAATCAGAAGAGTTAAAGATATGAGTTCTAATACTTTGAAATGTAAAGACTCTTGGCTTTCAACTTTACTCAGTCTTACTCCAAAAGTATGTTTACTGCATCATGATAATCTTAAAAGTGAAAAAACTACTTTGGTCAATTAAATTCTTTCTGGAAAAAAGATTCATATATATGAATATCCTCCCATATACTAATATGGAAAAACTACCCTGTATCTTACTATGAAAGAGTATCTTGGTCTGCTATAAGAAAATACACCCAAAACCTCCACATTCAGTTCCCCATTTTACATTATTTGAAGATGTTTTAATGGAAAGCTACAGGAACAGCAACACACACCTCACTAAATCATGACAGATTTTAAAAGTAGATTTAGAAATGCAAGATGTTTACCAAGTACTGTGTTCAACCAGTAATAACATCTTTAGAAACCTTCCAACGCTGAACTTCTTTATTTTTCTTTAAAAGATGGGACACGAGGCTTTAATATTCTCCCAGATCATATCATCACCTTATGGAAAACTACTCAGTTAATATCAGCTTTATAGCTGTAAAGTTTAACACTGTTGGAGTACATGTGTTATTTATGAACACGGGAGAAGCAGCTCCCACCTCCTCTGCAAAACCCAACTCAAGCCCTGCAACCTGTGCAAGGAATGCTGCTGCTCAGCTCACACACCAGGGAATTTAAGAGCTGAACAGTCATGCTTGTCTAGCATGAGAAAGTTGATATTCATTAGCAGCTCTGTTCGTGGGTGGCACCTGAAGAAATCTGTCACTTATGGTGGCCTTGCACTGCACAGTCCACAAGTGCCACGTGTTCTCTCTCCTGGGAAGGGAGCAGAGTCTGTGCAGGACACAGAACTCATTGTCACAAGTACTGTCAGTGTCTAACAAATAGAAGGTAGGCTTAGGACACATATAAACAGAATACATAAATAATATTATGATTGAGAGTACAAAACACTGAGATGCAATTTAAAGATCCAACACAGAAGTGTATTAAGTTTATAAACCACGTATTTTGAAGCAACTTCCTTACCTAAAGAATGCTTCCAAGTTACACTTGGCAGTAAGTGAATGAACTGAGGCAGCTGCAGCCATGGGGCACTCACATGCATCTGTCTGCTTTCCCCTCCTGTCCAGGTAAAATGCCACAAAAACCTTTATTAGTTTTGAAAAAAATAATCCTCATACTACACACAATGCAAAAATTACAGGAAAGTACGTTGGCATCAATTTATACATTTTCTTGCTTTAGTAAAGGAGCTTGAGGGCACCATCTTAACACAAGGCAGCTCATCCCACACTGACAGAACTGTGAGATCAGATTAAGCATAAAACCGATGGGAAACAAGTGTTGCAACTGCATTTACATTGTACTTGCCAACAGCACAAGGCAAACAGTAAGTTATTCAGTATTTGCATTATCATCACCACTAGTGGTGAAATTTGGTAAACGACACTGTAACTACTAATGTAATCTAGGAGTAATAAAAAACATAGATTAAAAAAAAATAATTATTTTCCTCCTTGGCCAGGGGAGCTGTGAGAGATGATGAGCACACAGAGGCCACATGGCACAGGCTGCTGCCACCAAACGTGCCGCAGCCTTCACTCAGCACCTGCCCCGGCTCTGGCTGCAGTCACATGGCAGGAGCTGCAACAACAACCCACCCACCGCAGCCTCCTCCCTGTTTACGAGCTCCCAGAGCAGCTTGAACCATCTGGGAAGAAGGATCACAAGGCACCGCAGCAAGGGCTTCGCGTTAAAATCCCCCACGTCCCTCTGCACTATTTTAATACTACATTACAAATGAGTTTGTGTCTCGCTGTCTTCCAGCATAAGCAATCACTCCAAGCTTTACCCTCAAATGTATCACTAAGTTTTCTTTTATAAAAACACGCCAAATAACCGAAATCTTTGTTGGGATAAACTTTACAAGCCTATCACAGGAGTGGGGGAACCCTTCCACCTGTCCTAAATTCAGTATTCTTCCCAACACTTCTCAGTGTGGCTGCGAGCAAAAGTAATTATTAACAGTAAAGTCACACCTGAAAATTAAGAATAGGACAGCAATAGCCATTTATAGTAATAAATGTATCAAATATAGATAATCAATAAAGACTGCCTACAGTGCTCAGTAGGCTTCTGAATGTCACAAATGTTGGACTGGTTACCTGTAACAGTTGAATAACCACAGACTACCCCCAAGAGGAAGGGAGCTGCTCTTGCAGAGACCTGTCCTAAGACCCTCAGTACAGAAGGAAGTTCCTACTTTTACACTGTAGATAAAAAGTAGCAAATTTTAGACACTACATTAGAAAAAAGGGTAGCAAAAAATTCTTGTTAGCAAAAAAAAAAAATATATATATATATATAATCAGGTGTATACCTAATGTACATCTGAGTGTCCTGGGCTACAAGAACCATCCAAAGCACCTTAAATCATGTTAATTTATGCAAGTAGTAATTTTTATAATATTTAAAAAGCCCTAGTTATCAGAGATGCAATCAAATACAAGCTTGTTATGCAAATGACAGTGAATTGTTATCTAAGGTAGTTATCGAAGATAAACAGCAGCAACACAGTCATTGAAATGAAACACTTCAGTGACTGATGAGGTTCATCAAATCTATTCATATCCTCATTAGTGTAAAGCAAAGTATCAACAATTTTACCCATCCAGCTCTTTTCCTCTACAAGCTCTTTGACCTAAACGTCCTGTGATCAGGTACTTTGCACAGCTGCACATTATCCTACTCAAACCACCTCAAATCCACAAAAAACAACAGGGATTCAGAGAAAAATCAGGTTAAATAACTCTGCAACTTATCCTGGTAATAGAACCATAAACTTCTGCTAAAATTAAGCCATTAAAAAACCTCTCCCATGGCAGGGGGAGGGTCGGTGGGGGATGTGAGAATTGGTCAGCAGTGGCTCTGTTAAGCAAGCAGCTATTCACCGCTTCCCTCGTTACAGTATCAGCTCCAAAAAAAAGAGGTTTTACTACTATAACCCAACATATGACAGATTCAAGCCCCAAAGAAATAACTGCTTCCTCCGACTTCTAGATTTCCCTTTCACTTCTCAACAGCAGGAGTCAGCAGGAATTAATAAAACACCACAAAAACAGGTTTCGAGTAGAGACAGTGTTAAAAAAAAAAAAAAAACCACTGAAGTAACACCACCAAAACTAAACGCAATTCCTGAGATATTAAAAACCATTTCAAACAACCAAGCTTGGAAATCCTCTGGGATAAAGCAGGCATCTTGGTAATTAAGCTTTAACTTTCTAACACTTGGAAATGAATGTTTAGGGACGTGCCTTTAACAGCTGAAATACCGGTCCCATTAGTCGCAGTGTCTTTAAGAAATCCCAGTCCAGGGAGTAAGGAATTCGGAATTCAGTCTGTCTGGGGAACAGGAGCAGCAGACACTGCACCCAAGGCAGGCAGCCCCGGAAAGCTGCTACCACCTCAAATCCAATCGCTGAGCGCGTTTCAAAAATTAGGTAAAAAATACATTTTAAGCCTAAATCTCAGAAGATCTCCTCCTGCAGAGCGATGAGCTCCAAGATTAAGCTTTTTCTTCATCTAGGACACAGCAGACTTCTAAGGGGCGGCATTTTTGCTTCTGAAGCGGATTATTATTTTATTTTAACCAGTCCTCGTTTTTCCCAAAACTGCGCCTCTGAGCCTCCCTCTCAAGGGATTTATCGCATTTTTAGCATGCTTATGACACATCCTCAAGAGACCTAAAAATAAACCACGCTCAGCTGCGCTAGTTTTAACTTTACCCAAACGCACTGCGCTTTCAGGGATGAAATTTAGATACTGGTGCTCCACCAACGCACTATTTTTAGAAGGAAACAGCCTTTAGACCGTGCCCGAACACCCGGGACCCCTCGGTCCTTCCCAGGGCCGCACCTGAAGCTGCTGCACACGGAAAAGCTCTCTCGAGGGTTCTCCCACACACCGGGAATATAAATAAATAAATAAATTTTTAAAAAATCGTTACTCTCCCAGCTTCTCTGGAAACGTTCCTACCCGACTTTAACGAGCCGTTTAAGAGCTCCTGACACCATAAAATCGACTCCCGGGTGCTCCCCCAGCTCCGGAGCAAAGGGGGGATGGGGGGGGCACAACGCGCCGAGCCCCTCCCGAGGTTTGGAGCTGGGGGTGGTGGATTGGAGACTCCGGGAGCGGAGGGCGACTGGCTGGCTGTCCCTGTGCGTGTCCGCCTGTCTGTCCCTCTGAGTGTCCGCCTGTCTGCCCGCCGGTCCCGCAGCCCAGGCCGCCCCCGCGGCCGCTCCCCCACCCCACCCCGGGGTCCCCCCGCTCACCGCCGCCTCGGCGCGGCTCCCTCGCAGAGTCAGGCCGTGCCCAGCGCAGAGCAGGGGCAGAGCAGGGGCAGGACCGCGCTGAGGCTCCGCCGCCGCTGCCGCCCCGCACTCGCCGCGGCCCGAGGGAGGAGCCGCGG